AGAAAGACCGAACGATGCACAGACGACACACAATGGCATTCCCACTCTCTGAGCAATTTCCGACAGTCCCGAATAGCCTCCTTCAGCTGGGCCACAGCCACCCCTAAAGCACGAGTGCAGAGGCCAACAAGACACGTGCGGGTGATGGGGCATTCCGACCGTCTTGAATGTGAACAAAGGGCTAATCTCATCTGGAGCACCGACCGTCAAAAGCTCCGATACCACGCCTGTCTGCCCGCTGTAGCAGCCCTCGATCAAACGCAACTGACTTTTCCACTGCCGGAAGCTGAGCACACACAAAGGCTTGACTTTCAGCGTCAGGGTCCGCAAGTCATCCAAGTATTCTTCCATAGGACCGAAAGCAAAATCAAAAGCCTCCGTCGATTCTCATCCCTCCATCCACAACAACACAGCCTACAAACTGTGACGTCTGCTTGACCCGCTCGCGGCACGCAAACATGCTAACTCCACGTACTCACGAAGAGTCCAGTGTCCGAGAACATCTGGCAGATTAGCATCTTCCACACCGGGACGCTGAATAAAAATGGAGCAGTCGTCTGACTCGATGTCCTTCAGCCTCTCCAAGTTGCCGCTCAGGGCCGCCGAAGCCACCGCAACGCTTCGACCTTGATGGTCTGCCCCAAACGACCAAAAACCAAAAAAAGATGAGCGGTCGTCGCCTCCAACCTGGGCGCACGCATTCCGGCGCTGAACCGCCAATTTCGGGCACGTGCACGTACATGTCCAACTCCACCCACGCGCAGAAGGCGCGCCATGATGCAGCCAGGAAGCCAAGCATCTCTCACACTTGGCTAAAGCAGCGTGAAGAAACATGTAGTGATCCCGCTCGCCCTCATCCATACAAACGATGAGACTTCGAAGCACCTCATCAGCAATGTGAACATAGCCGTCGACTTTTGCGCCATCACAGAAACTAACGGAAGGATTAGCTATCCAGCAGCTGCTACCAGCCCAAAGCAAGCACTACTCACTCTCAGCGAGCCAAAAGCGGACCTGCAGGAGTTTTGATTGCTCGCGAAGGCAGAATGAGAGAACATAAAACATTCAAGTGCGCCGCAGTGGGGAGATGATTTCCTGAAAAAATCTTAGGGGGAGACCCCTTGCGATTTGAGATTTGGGGACTTGATTCCGTGAAAAATCTTAGGGGAGACCCCTTGCGATTTGAGATTTAGGGACATGATACTCTGAAAACACCTTAGGGAGACACGGCTTGCGATCTGAGATTAGGGGAGATGATTTTCTGAAGGCACCTTAGGGGACACCCCTTGCAATTTGAGATTAGGGGAGACGATTCACCGTTTGCGATTTGACCTTATATGGGCTTTGGCTGTCATCAAGGAAGTCTTTGGGGACAATCCGATAGGGCGAAATTGAAAATCGTCATGTAAAATTACTTGACGATTTATAGGGTTTATGACCCCCTAGATATGCCCTTATGATTAACCTTGATTATCCTTATATGGACCGAATTTTGAGGATGTCCCGCATGGGAGTGCGATTTTTGGTGAAAAGACGACGAAATTTTAAGGATGCTCCGCACTCCCTTTGTATCCCTTTGTGATGAAGAATCGACGAAATTTGAGGATGCTCCGCACAGCAGCAGTTTTCATCAAAATGTTCAGGATGCTCCGCACGGGCGCGCAATTTTATTCACAATTTTCAGGATGCTCAACACGGGAGTGCAATTGTTGATTCGGGGATGAATTTCCTGGTGAGTTCCAGAAGCGCAGAAAACGGCGATTTCTGTTCTACAGTTAATTGAAAACGGAGCCGCTTTCTGCCTTTCCATTTGGGGATGAATTTCCTGGGCGATTCTAGGGGCTCAGAAAATGGCGATTTCTGTACTACATTTAATTGAAACCAAAACCATTTTCCAGCTTTCCTGAGTTTCCCTCCCATTTGGTGATGAATTTCCTGGTGAATTCTAGGGGTTCTGAAAACGGCTATTTCTGTACTAGAATTACTTGAAAACATTTCCTGGGATTCCTTCCATTTGGGGATGAATTTTCCGGGAGATTCTCGGGGTTCAGAAAACGTCGATTTCTGTATTAGAATTAATTGAAAATAGACACATTTTCCGGGCTTCCTGGGATTCCCTTCCATTTGAGGATGAATTTATCGGAGATTCTAGGGGCTCAGAAAACAGTGATTTTTGTCTTTGAAAACCGAGCCATTTTCCGGCTTTCAAAGGGCGCCTTCCGTTTGGGGATGAATTTCATGGTGAGTGCTAGAAGTCTCAGTAAACGGCGATTTGTGACCCTTCAAATTCTCCTTTCATCTTCTGAAGCATCTCCTTGTCGAAAATTTGGTGTTGTCCAACCGCTGGCTTATCCTAGTATGAAGACAGGCAAGGTGCCGTTCGATAGCAGCAGATTTTCTCATGCGCTGTTTCCTTCTGCTTATGATATTATGATATGTCTATCGTACCCCTTGCGTTATTGAAATAAAGGACGAGGAGAGGCGACTCGATACCACCAAATTTTCTGAAGCATCTCCTTGTCGAAAATTTGGTGTTGTCCAACCGCTGGTTTATCCTAGTATGAAGACAGACGAGGAGCGGTTCGATAGCACCAGATTTTCTCAAGCGATTTTTCCGCTGAGTTCGATATTATCATATGTTTGGGGGACCTCTTGTGTTATTCACATAAAGGACAAAAAGCGGCGGTTCGATATCACCAATTTTTCTGAGTAGAAAATTTGGTGTTGTCACCAGATTTTCTCCAGCACTTTTTCCTTTGTTTTCGATATCATGATATGTCTATGGTACCCCTTGCGTTATTCAAATAAAGGACAAGCAGGGGCAGGTCGGTAGCACCAAATTTTCTGAAACATTTCCTTGCAGAAAACTTGGTGTTGTCGAACCGCTGTCTCTACTGAAACTGCGAGACTTTGCAGCCGCAAGGCGTACTTGACTAGCTGGGGTGCCACATTTGTGGGACCCAAACCCCGTGTAGGAGGGGTTCATGAGGTTTTCGGGCTGCCAAGTTTGTGGGTCCCAATAGAACAGGTTCCGGGATCCACAAAACAAGACCAAAACCAGCGCGCAAACCTCGGGATTTCGAAGCGGTTAAAATTGATATAGAACTCCGCCACATCATCGTTCATAAATGATCCAAGTTTTCCCAACGCTCCGCAGGGGGAGCGTCATTTTGATCGATTTCGATGAAGATAAATCGAGAGCGCGATTTTCGAAGATAGGCAGATGATCCAAAACTCAAAAAAAGTCGAATTGTCTCACGCGGGAGCGCAATTTCTGAATGTTCAAGAAGTGAGCAAAAACCGAATTTTGAGGATGTCTCGCGTGGGAGGGCGATGTTCAAAAATTAGAGGCGCGGCCAGTTCGGATACGACCCCCTCTAGCAAGACTACTTTAAAGGCGATGCCTCTTAATTGTTGATCGAAAATGAAAAACGCAGATTTTTTGAGGATGTCTCGAACGAGACCGCGATTTTGAAGCGAACAAGATCGCGTCCCAAGTGTTTGCGCGACGGAAGAGTACCCATGCATATGCATAGGGGGCGACAGCACATCTGAACAACTAGAACCCCACAATGAATGTGGGAAAATATGAAATCAGTAAACGCATTTTTGCCTCAATGGCAGGCCTCAAGAAGCTGGACATATTTTGCCTCGAAACCAAATGCAACAAGAAGTGGAAGATGTTGGTCTACAACTACGGACACAACAGGAAAATTATTTGTCAATACCTTTCAACTCAAAGGTCTGAGAAAAAATATGAGGATGTTTGCATGTGACATTCATATAACGCCAGAATACGAATGAGTATGTGTATAGCAAAGACACTGAGGATTTGAATTCACCAACGGAAGGAAACGGCGGAAAATCAAGCTGCTTACTGAAGTCTTTGAAAAGAGACGGTTGAAATGGTTAGGCCCTTTGAGGCCATGTTCCTCGCAGGGAAAGAGAGTATCCACTGCATCAAGCAGCGTTTAAGACGCAATCTGCTTTGCCCAGAGAAACAGAACAACGCAGGGTAGGCCGCTCGAGACAATTTGGACAACTTCAAACATGGAAAAGGCATGGGAGGTCATCACAATGCATGATGGAGCACTGCCAAATTCACCCTTTGATAAGCATAACAGACACATGCGAGAAAGAATCATCGACCAAGCTCGAAGGATATCTACCACTGTTCGGCTACTGTCAGCTGCGCTGTTTGTAGCTCAATGTGAAGAAGTTCAGCGTGAAACGCAAGATTTCGTGTCCGCATGGAAGGAATGATGCAACTAACATGAGACGTGCAGAGGGCGACATCTCAGTTTGAAGTAGCTCAATATGGAATAGCTCAGTGTGAAGCAGCTCAGCGCAAAGTAGCTCAAAGTGAAACAGCTCAGTGTAAAGTAACGCTGCCTTCAAGAAGGCTTGTAGAATTGTTTGATGCAGACGAATTTCTCACAGTAGTTACCCAGACTAGCGCCTAATGAGCCATAGCATCAGCCAGGAAGTAGTTTAGCACCAACGACTTGCGTACGGACTTAGCTGCAAGTTAAGGTTTACAAAGACGAGTGGTCTGGATTTCTGGAGGGCTGACTGCCGACCACCTCCCGAACACCCTTCGGCCTGCGCCACGTCTAGGAATCTAGACTTCATGTCAGTTTCCAGCTGCCTGGTATAGTATTGCTTCTCGCTGCCTTTCTAAGCATGCGTTGCACAGAAGGTTGGAGGCTGCAAGCTGAAGGGATGCCGAGGAATTGGTGTCCTTTTTTTGGTTTGCATGCATGCAGCAATGCCCGCCGCCACCCACCATTTCAATCTACGTAGCGAAACAACTCACGTTGGAGGTTAAGTTTGCGTTTGGTCCTTATTCGGGGACCCAAGGGCAATGTTCCAGATGTGCATTACAGCGTGCAGTGTTTCATCCCAACGTCATCAACGTCATCATCAAGCGGGCGCATGGCGGCCATCACTGCCTCAGCCAAGGATTGCTTCACCTTGCTTCTATCCGCTTTTAATACCCTCAGATCTTCACCTTGGACCAGTGTTTTGAAACACATGACACGGGTCCTCAATACGTGGCAGTGGCATTTACATTATGAAGCCATCATAATTCCAGATCTTCCGTTTGAAGCTTTGTCACCGTACACCACAAAAGCAGGGTCTTGGACTTCCGGTCGGCGCTTGCACTATATATATATATGTATATAGTTCACCAAAGTCATTGTAGATTGGAAACAATGCTGCAAAGCCCAGGTCTTCAACTTGCAGCATTGGCTTCAACATCACAAAAGCCATATCTTGCCCTTGACCATGTGTGTTTTTCACATGACAAATGCGGTCTACACCTGGCGGTGGAGGAAACCACATCTTCAGCTTGAAGATGTGTCATGATGTTTTTCACAAAAGCCATATCTTGCCCTTGACCATGTGTGTTTTTCACATGACAAATGCGGTCTACACCTGGCGGTGGAGGAAACCACATCTTCAGCTTGAAGATGTGTCATGATGTTTTTTTGAGCACAGCCCAGGTCCTCAACCCCTTGTTGCAAACACCAGGCCTCCTTGCCAGCCTTGACCAATTGGAAGCGCGGGTGCGTTATTGTAAGAGCTCAGGCAGGAGCCACACGTCTTTACTAGCCGGCCTAGTGCAAAACGAATCAGCAGAGAAATTCTCTCATCTTATCGGCTCATCGTCAAGTCGGCCTACTGATCACAGTTGCTGGGCCGCGCGTTTGATCCTAAGATTTTGGGCGCCCATCACTGGCGGTATCTAGAACACAGCAAGATTGCAGGTTGAAAGACAGCCTGGCCAAGCAGATTTACGTCAAGGAGATGTGATCCTGGCAGTGGGCGACTCGTTGCTGACTGGCCTGGACGAAGATACGGTTGAGGAGCGTTTCAGTGTTGCCTTCGGTGATGGAGTTGGTTTGGTGACTGGCTGCCTGAGTGATTTGATGAAGCATCCCGTCGAAAGTGTAGCGAATGAGGTGAAGCGCTTTCTTTAAGCACCCACAAGAGGTGCGACGCTTGCTCAAAAGCGTTAAAAATCATCGTCAAAGCCGTTCAGCAGCGCATGTCCGTGTTTGTGGGGATGTGATGGGTCAAGATCCTCCGCTAAGAACTATGCCTGCCAGCAGCAAATTCGGATCCCCAGCATCACTCCTTCAAAGAGGGTCGGGCAGTGGTTCCAAATGCGTTGCCCTCAACTTGTGTGCTTCTTCGGCAACGATCCACGCAGCTTGCGCACCTCAGGCCGATCACAGGGCTCGCGGACGTTGCCAAGGATGCTGAAGCAGGCGACTGTGAGCAGCGCATGATGCAGACGTCTGCTGGCCTCCCGTCATTTTGAGGAAAAAACCAGAGTCCTTTTGGTCCTGGTGGAATCTACCACGAGAAGCAGGTTGGCTCATTGTGCGTCTGACGCTTGGTGTTGATGTCACATTGCCATGGTGACCAGTGACCGGCACAAGAAACTGGAGCTGCACTAGAATCTTCAGCTGCTGACCATATTTTAGTACTATAGGAATTTCCGGCGTGGTGACGGCGCTGTGCTTTGCTTGACATGTGTCTGCTAGCTGCATGGGAGGGAGGCTTGGGCGTTAATTGCGAGACGGCTCGAAGTCGTGGAGCTTGCTGATTTGTCGTTATGATTAGACCCTAGCTAGGCATCGTTTCTTGCGGCCTGCTCGTTTTGCTGCCTAGAACAGTGAAGTTTAGGCACCCTGCTGTTGGTGCGCATTTGCATGCTTCTTTGGTGGCCGATGGGGGGCCATCAGCCGCTCTGGCGCCAGCTTTGGCTGTTGGATTAGACCCGCCGTCATAAGCAGAACCAGGGCAGGGTGCCTGTGTTCTGTTTGGTGACGCTGTTTTGCTTTGCGTCACGCAATGCTCTTGCCTTTGCGCAGCCATAACGGAAGAATCCGGGAGAGAGGAAGCTCCTTGACCACTGCCCCGCTCACGAGTGACTGCGGAGGATAGTCAGAAAGCTTGGCAACCATTAACCATTGTGGAACGTTACGGCTAATCACCTTGTCCTAGTGACTGATTCTGTGCTGCTGGTGCACCAGTCACTCTCCTAAGGCCATCCACTGCGTCAACAACATGTTCCAGGTGCCTCGCTCGCACTTCCTGTGATGCTGCTGAGTGTCGCGCAACAGGCAACAGCAAGTGATAATTGAACCCTGAGGGCCCGCTGTATGAAGATGGTGATTTCAGAGCAGTTGCACGAGTCACTTGGAATCGCATTGAAACAGTTTCCGTGTTTGAGAAATTTGAGAATCCTCCGGTGTTGTGGCCGTTGTGGCTGAGGTTTTGGACCAACGCGAACGAAGCCTCATGAAGGGTGAGGACCTAGATTTCGGCAGCGGCCCCAATTTCTTTGACGTTTCTGTGCATTCTTCTGCTGTGCTGGCGACCGCTCGTAGCAGTAAGGCAATGCTCGTTATGATGGATTCTACAACGTGCAGGTGGTTCAGGAAGGGTGTTTTGCACAGCTTACCTGATGGGCTACTGCAAACCAGCACACAGGGGCATTGGGCAATCGAGTGTGCCCGATGGTGACAGTCCTGTAACATCCTGTAGCACTTGGCGCTGCTTGAGTATCATACTTGTCAAGATGTCATTTTGAAGCGCGTCAACAGCGTGGTGACGGAGTGTGCTTGATTCGTCACTTGCAGACAGGCATGTAGGTGTGTCTCTCTCCGTGCAAAGAGTTTGTTGGCCAGGAAGTGCTAAGAAATGCTGGCTATGAGATGACGTCTGTTTCGGCCGAGGCTCGTTTTCAGGCATTCCTGGTTATTTGCTAGATCATACTAAATCACTCGAGCTGGAGGCTGCAAAAGATGGTGTCACAAGGGCGCAGGAGAAGGCATTCATCTTGAACAAGCCAGCCTCCTACACACCTGGACCTGGCGAAGCTGTCACCTCCGTGAGTGTTTTGATTCTCCAAGGCAAGAGCATTGGTTCTCTGTGCGAAGGCTTGGTCAGGAGTGGCCCGGGCCAGAGGTCTTGCATGTCATGAAGCACTAGTGTGCTGCTGGCCTGATCTTCAATGGTCGGCAGGTGTAGATTTTTTATTGTACTGTTTGTGGTCAAGGTTCTTTGTCTGCATGCTTCGAAACATGATGTTTCTCACTACTGCAGTAAACGAGGCATTCGCGCATTGTTGCAACACAGCTGCAGAATTCTCGCAAGAGATAGACAGCTCACTTCCGCCGAGGTTCGACCTGAATAGCTGTATGTCAGTGCCCAAGCACTATACTGATGGCGACCTGGAGTGGCTCATTAAAGAGGCGGCCAGGGCCTAAAGCATCACTGACACGAACGTGCTGATTTGACCCGAGCTGGAGTTGCAAAGGTCAGAGAAGGCTATAGCGTTTTTCGCGTGAGGGCTGTGAATGGTGAGTTCCCACGGCTCGGGGCCAAGAGTTGTTGCTCCAACAGTGTGCACACAAGCCCCATCCAGAATGAGGTGTGCCCTGGAAGAAGATCAAAAGAAGCTTGTTGAGGCAAAGGAAGGTGGGCAACCTGAAATAGAGTCGCAGCGTAGCCGTATAGAAGCAAACGCTCGAGGCTGCGGGGGGCCAAGAACCGGCTACAGCCTGTACGCCGGGTCGGGGCAGACTCTGTCAAGTCCCGGCGTGGAAGCCCGAGATCAACATTCCGCAAAGTGTCCTGTTTGAGATCACTGTGCTCAGGCTAAAGCAGCTGCTGCCCCACCTTCGGATGCTGCTGCACTCAGAGCTGTGTCAACCTCAGCATTCGGAACTGTTCCGCAAGCCATTTGTTATGATATCGCCACAGGCCAGGCTGGCTCGATTGGGCGGAGGCAGGAGCCAATCGGGACTGGATGTTCTGAAGCGAGTGCTGAGGGGGAACGCTAGTCACTACATGTCACTACTACCTGACTGCAGCAGGTGGCGCACCTCCTCCCGCATGAGATGCAAGACCTGAGATTCTTCCTGACAAGGTTGTGAGGCGCAAGGGTCTGAAGTAGCACGACATGCTACAGCGCTGTGTGGTAGCGGTCTTTATTATTTTCGATGGCGCGGCGCAGGATGCCAATTCGAGTCTTTGAGGTCGAGTGGTGAACGACCAATTCAGTCTACGAAGCAGCAGCCTTTTTGCCTGAGTCTTCGGGAGATCCTTGGAGTGTGCGCATGGTAGTTTCGGAAGGCTTCTTCGCACAAGCGAGAGTCTTTCTAATATTTTGTTTCACTGCAGCTTAGATATGAGCTGGAATTTGTCACAGCAAGCTGCAGCTGCTTTCGTACAGAACATGGTGCCCATGATGTGAAACCATGTTGCCCAGATTTCAGCATCACTTCCAGTGATTTCACGGGGAGCGTTGCCCTCTGTGCTTGTGAGGGTGCCAACATGCTGGGAGTCCTTGATGGACCAAATGGCAGAACAAAAGGCAGCAGCCATTCGTTTCGTTGACTCGTCTTGCCTGGGCTGCTTTTTTTGCGAAGCTTGTCAATTCTCCCTACTTGCCGTTTTGGGGCAGCGCCAGGTCCGGTCGCATGCCAAATTGTGGCGCAATCTGAGGTCAGAGCTGCCCAGAAGCAGACACAACACAGGTGGCAGAATTCATCTGAAAAAGGCAAGACCAGTCTGGGAAGGTGTTGCCAGTTGGAAGCGGAAGAGGGAACAGGGGAAGAACAGGCAGTACCGAATGAACCTGCATCTTGAATCCAATCCTCAGCCTCAGCACACGGAAGAGTGGTGCAGCGGCTGCGGAGCAGAAAACCCTAGTGGCTGCGCAGGCAAGTTGCTCCTTGTCACACAGAACATTCAAGCGAATAGTTGCAATGTCCAAATCATCAGAGTTCGGTCCGTGACCACTTCTGCCCAGAAACCAATCAATGTCAACACTTTGTCACGACATCCAGCCTTGAGTCCATGATACTAAAGTTTGTGTGAGAAAGCCGGCGCTCCGCCGGGAGCCCGATGTTTGCTGAGTGCTCTCATTTCGGAGCACCAAAACCAGAGCATCAAAAAGCTTTTGTCAAGCAAACAGTGCTTGGACCCTTGCCGCCCACCCGCAACACGGAGAGCCACTTCAGGGGACCAAACGGAGGGTGGGCTGTCCTAATAGCCATCAGAAGCTATGGCTGCAATGACGGTGTGTGCCACGCGCTCAGCACGCCGTGGATCTTTGGTCCTGGTTCTGGCTGCCCTGGCCGCAGCATGGGGCTTCTGCTCCAATGCCTTTGTGACGCCGTACATCAGCCACCAAACGCCCACGCCCCTTCGCAGCCGCGTACGTATGGCGACTGCCACAGGCTTCAAAGAGGATGAAGACGAAGATCAAGGCCAGGGAAAGAGTGGCAGCGACACGCCCGAGTTGTCTGCCGAGGCTTTGGGACGCGAGCCTGGCACCTGTGACCCCTTCGACCCCAAGAGCGCAGAGTACTGCTCCCCTCAGGAGGTAGAGACTACATCGTTCTTGTCCAAGCGCACGCTCAAATTGGGAGCCCTCTTCATGCTTTGGTATGCGCTCAACGTTGGCTACAACATTGGCAACAAGTTGGTTCTTACGGCACTTCCGACCCCTTGGTCGTCCGCAACTTGGGAGCTTTTCTTTGGGCTGCCCTACGTTGGATTCCTTTGGTTGACCGGTCTCCGCAAGAGGCCTGAGCTCAACTGGAGCGGCCTGAAACTCTTGATCCCTCCCGCCTTCTTCCTTGCATGCACGCACGTTTTTGGTGTGATCTCCTTCGGGGCGGGAGCTATTTCCTTCACGCACGTGTGCAAGGCGACCGAGCCTGTTTGGACAGCCTTGATCTCCGCCATCTTCTTTCGCGAGTTCCTGCCGGTGCCTGTCTATCTCAGCCTAATCCCGATACTTCCCTGCATTTAGACGTCGAATGTAGTCCATGACTTGCAGAAAGTAGCTATTTGTTTCCATCATGCCTCGATCCAAGCGCTGGGTACCAAGGATCATCTTTGGTGTTTCGCTGGCATCCGCGCACGAGCTCTCCTTCACTTGGATCAGCTTCATTGCGGCTACTGGCAGTGCAGTGACATCTGCCAGCAAGGCCATCCTGGGAAAGAAGGTCTTGGATGGTAAGTCCTTGGGAAAGAACCTCACGCCTGGCAACATGTTTGCTGTCCTTACAATTTTGGGATGCTTCATGATTCTTCCAGCGTCCATGATCATCGAGGGCCCCAACAAGTTCACTGCAGCTTGGGCCCATGCCCGAGCAGCAGGTTACACGGCTCAAAGGCTTTGGTTGATGCTGTCCATCTCCGGCTTCCTATATTACACGTACAATGAAGTGGCATTCCTTGCATTGAAGGAGGTGGCCCCAGTTACCCATGCTGTCACCAACACAGTCAAGCGAGTTGTCATCATCATTGCCTCAGTGATCGTGTTCAGAACGCCTATCACGCCGCTGGGAGCCCTCGGGTCTAGCCTTGCCATCATCGGAGCCCTTATGTACTCGCTCGCCAAGAACCAGAAAAAGTGAAGGCTCGTCATGTGCAAGTGCTTCCAGGTAGCCCTTCAGAGAACCAAAATCCCGTTCACCTTTGGCATCAGGCCAGGTCATGAGTCGGCAGCACACGGCCTGAAGCCCAGCTACCTGCAGGCGTGTTGCTTGCTGCAAGCAGTGCTGGCATTGCATTTGCCCAGGCTAGACCAGAAATCCAGTGACCAGCTGATGTGGCGGCCCATGGATGATCGTATTAACTGTGCAGTGCTGCCGTCGCTTGCACCCGTTTTGGGGTAAGCCATCATGATACGCAAATATTGTGGCATGGTAAGTACACGCAGTGTCCGATGAAACCTGCTAGCCCATGCCAAACCTGTTGCTATCTGCGATGTGTTGAATGCGACGATTCTCCCTCAAATCTGATCAGCTTCCTGTCCGGACTCTCTTCGGACAATTTCAAGTTGCGTCATCCCGGGGGGGAGTGGATCTTTTAAGGTGATTTTCCTGTGTCATGATTGCGGATGCCTTGATTTTCCAGAAAGAGCAGCTGATGAGAGGCCATATAATGCACACAACCTTGCTAGACAAGGGTTTCTGATCATGATGATACGTTTGACTTCTTGACTGCAAAACCACTCCCCTTGTTGTTTCACTCTAGGCTCTAGGCGCGAGCAAGAAGTTTTTCGACAGGCTCGAAGTCCGAAGGAAAAACCTGTATCTAGCTTCTTGATCTTGCTGCTCAGTTTGGCAGGGCGCGTTTCCAGACAGGGTTAAGTGGGCCGCAGTCATAGATCTCAATCACCTTGATTATCATTGATTGCTTATTGTTAGCTGGATTTAGCTGAATATCACCACCTATGCTCACCATATTTTCTACCTGCCATCAGAATTGTCATCGCTGCGGCATCAATACAGTGACTTAATGCAACAACCCAAGGGCTGGAAGGCCAGACTCGTCGAGTGATTCATGAGGAGATGTCCAATGCCGGTCCATAAGGTCCATGATTTTTTGTTTGCTATTTGCTGCTAATGCTGCGCTACAGGCTTGGATAGGAATATGACGGAAACGACCATTATAGAGAATTATCATAGATATCAACACGTCAATCATCGGAATCATCGTCGAATTCGATAACACATCACATATTTATTTCCATAAATTATATTTTTGGATAGATTCCTGAATCCCGCTAAAAAGAGAGACGGCGACGAAAGAAAAGAGATCTCTAACATAATATGGATATTGATATTTTCGCTTTAATTTAGATATTCTATCATTTTTTTAGGATTGATGTCTCTTCTTCATCTTATCAAATTTACGATTAATCTTTGAATCCTAATCGGATATATAAGACTATTTGATTATATATATAATATATATTGAATCTATTATTATATATATTATGAAATCATATTATAGATGTTCTATATCTATATGACTATCTTATAATTTCTAAATTTGATTCTCTCTCCAGGGACTTCATTCTTTTGCAGTTGTTCCAATAATTAAAGAGAGATAAATCGCGCGGAATATATAAGTTCGCACGTATAATAGGTCGAAAGCACATATAAGCTCGTACGCGAGTCTCGATGATCTGAAAACGATTGAGCTAATAGATTCTGAAAGATTATGGAATGATAATTCGGGGAAGCGCATAAATCTCCGAGAGTAGATATATCTAATCTATAATATCTAAAAAATATTGGTTTTCTCTCCTGACACTACGCGCTCTTCCGAATAGTTGCGCCGTCAACGAAAAAATAAATCACGCGGAATATATGAGCTCTCACGTGAATCCCGACGATCAATCAATATGAAAGACCGCACATATCCAAAAATAATCTATCTCATAGATTCTGAAAGATTTTGGAATGACAAACAGATATGCCCAGCCTATAATTTCTAAAAGATTTTGGATCTGCCTCTTGGCACTACGCGCTCCTCCGAATAGTCGCGCCCCTAATCAAAGAAATATATCACGCGGAATATATAAGCTCGCACGTGAATCCCGACGATCAATCAGTATGAAAGATCGCATATATCCAAAAACGACCAATCTAATAGATTCTGAAAGATTTTAGATCTCTGCCCAGGATCTACGCCGAAATATCTATCTCGATTTTTCCATCTCATTTATCTTTCTTGGACTATCTACGCGGCGATGGGGGAGAGCGTATATATCCCTATAGATAGATATGAGATTCCCATAAATTTTAGAATTTTGATTCTCCGTCCCCGATATATGCTCCCCATCGAATAACCGCCCAGATAGCCAAAGATAAATAAATCAGTCGAAGCCCACCCAAAAGCCAAGAATCATATGACCAACAATCTAGGAGATTTTCGATTATTCCGTCTGCATCAAAATCTCGGAGATTTTAGAGCCTTAAATTTTTCCGAAAAATTAGAAAATCTCCGAATCTTTAGAGATCCTAGAGAATCCGTAAGAGAAATTTTAAATACGAGCTAGAAAATCTGATCCGCACGCGAATGAATCATTCGTAAATGATCGCGCCATATTATTGAGATATTTATCCAATTATCTCCCATATATATATATGATATAAATATCATCATCTTTAATATCCAAAAATAATTTCTATTATATAGAAGAATTCAATCCCGAGCTCTCAATAGAAAAAATAAAAAAAAATCTTATAATAATATCCTCTGCAAAAATCAATAATATGGCTGCTTTCGAATAGAGAATTTCGTAAATCAAATATATATTAATTACGAATAATTTCAGAGATAGATAAATAAATAGATAAATATTTCATATCTCTCGCCTATCTATGAAAAGATCTATTCATGAAGAAATCGAAATCAATGTAGATAAAAATTAGCTCGTCTCTTTTTCTTTTGAAGATAAATATCGAAATAATTACGATCTTTTATTCTTTCTTTGCTAAAATCCACCATAATATCTATTTTATAGAAAATATCTTCATTACCAAGATATCTAGGGAATTATATGACAGAATATAATATATAGCTTTTTCTCATTTCATAGATATCTATTTATTATTATAATATCTCTTAATCTAGATATTCTGTCATTCTTTATGATATTCATATCTCTTAATCTTATTATTTCTATATACATATATTCTAATTTTGAATCTCTCTTTAGTTGTCTGCGCGGCGGCTCGGAGATCTAAAATCTTTCAGAATCTATATATCACGTGCGGTCTCAAAATCTTGATAATTCATCGGATTTCATATAAGAATTTATATATTATTTGATCATCGGATTTTCTATTGGAGCTTTTGTCAAATAGATATTTTCGTTATTATAGGCAGCGGGCCAATTCTAATGAATGAGATATATTTGAATAAAACGAGATATCGTCTATATGAAATACGAATAGATAGAAATCTCCGATATTATAGATTCTATGCAATAGAGGCGAGATCCAGCTTCTCTATAAGAATCTCGCATATAGCGAAATTGATCCGAATATTTGAATATATAGAAAAATATTCGATAGAATTCGGATGATGAAAGAGACGATCTAATAATATGAATATAATTTGGAAATAGATTTATGAAATCATAAAGAACCAAAGATAGATTAGCAAGATATGAATTAGAAGAATCATCATTTATTAGGATCCGATAATAGAAGGAAGATTTGATTTCGAAGATCTTATCTAGATCCTTGAAATATAGATAATTAAATTCGATAAATTATAGAGGCATAAATTGAGAACTTTCTATGATATATGAAAAGATAATTTGAATTAGAATATGATAGAGAACGAATTTTCAAGAAGCTAGAAGATCTTTATGATCTAATAAAGGATGGAGAAATTTAGAAATTGATATAAGATGAGATATACGAATTGATATCTTGAGAATTTCTCCTTCCTTATAATGATTATTAGGTGCCAGGTCGTCTCTCCCGCGCAGATTGGAAACGATGAATGAAATATAGATATAGAAATATCTCTAGAGCTGAAATTTCATTGAATTCTATTTCGTATCTTGGCGACGTTATCGCTTCTTTCTATAAGATATTGGATTTCTGGGCATTCGGAAATCGACGACGGATTTTAGTATATAAATTGGGAATTTGATATCGCGCATCTTTATTTTCCAAAACGGCAATAGATGAGGGAGGAGAGGAGAAAAGGAGAGAAAAGAATATGATCTATCGAAATGAGATATAAATACGCCTATTTATCGAAATTGAATGTGAGATCTCTTATATATATAAAAATCATCTAATTTGTTCGGCAGAATATGATATCAAGACAATCTCATCAATATATTCTCGTTCCCAGAAGAGAAAGAGAATAATAGAAAAGAATCTAGATTAAGAAATATAAGAAATTAGAATTGATCTATTGCCTATAGAGAAGAAAATATTTATTTGAGAGAATCTATAACGAGAAGCTCGATGAATAATCCTCATATAAGATCGAATATGAAATCCGATGAATAATCAATATGAAAGATCCTATATGATAAAAATATTCAGATTATAGATTCTGAAAGATTTTAGATCTCTATCCCGGATCTATATATTCCGTCGAAACCACGTAGATTAACCAATAAAAAAGAGAGAAATAATTCGATACCTCGAGAGATCTTTGGCCGCGCAGCCCCGCATCCGCCCCGGCCGTTCCGCCTCATTTATCTCTCTTGGACTATCTACGCGGCGGCTCGGAGAAATTTATAAAATCTCCGTATATATATAGACGACAAAGCTATAAATTCTAAATCACGCGGATCAAATTCAATCGATCATGAAATTTAATGAATAGTCAATATATAAAATTATACGGCACCAAGAACAAGCAATCTATAGATTCTGAAAGATTTTAAATCTCCGCCTCGAATCTATATGTTCCATTAAATTCGCGCAGATAGAAATAATTCGAATTCTCGAAAGATCTTTACTCGCGCAACCCTATTCCGCCTTATTTCTCTCTCTTGAATTATTTATTCAATAACTCGTGAGAGCAAATAAATTCTAGATATATATCTATAACGGAAAATCCGATAATCAAATAATATATGAAATCGTATATAATACCCAAGATTTTCAAGCCGCACGTAATATATAATTGCCCGAAAGATCTTAAATCTCCGTTCCGGACCTTCATAGGCCGCCGATCCGCCGCACAGACAACAAAAAAAAGAGAAATATCTCGAAATCTTGGGAGATTCAATCGTACGGAATATATTCATATGCAGCCCGGCCTTTTCGCCTCTCTTATCTATGCGACGAGTCGAGAGAACGTATAAATCCCCGAGTCGAGAGAACGTATAAATCCCCGGCCGGGGAGAGATATAGCCAATCTATAAATTCAATTTTTTTTCTCTATCTTAAATCGAAAGGCTCAATTATATAATCGCCCAAATAACTCAAATAAAGCGACCTCGGAGAGTTTAGAGTCTATATTTATTTTTTTCCGAAGGATTCTAGAAGGCTTCGAGAATTTAACATCTCTAAAAGATCTAGAAGAAATATAAAATGAGCCGGAAACGTTTTTATTACGCCGATAAATCTTCTTGAGCGAAAAGTAGATAAATTTCAGATATTAGTTTCAAATCGTGAATCCCCCCATTCACGACGAATTAGACGAAAAAATAGACGTCGTGCGACGAAAGGCAGCCTTCAAATGATACGAATTATATGGATTCCCCATTATTTCGTTTTATATTGAGGCCTCATTATTATTGCCATCCTCAATTCAGGTGTTCAGGTTGTTGAGCTTCAAGTCCATACGCTTGAATATATTCCCGCCCTCCCGCCCAAAATTTAAGGAGCAATACGCCCCTGCGTGTCGAGAAAGCCGTGTCGAGAAAGCAATACTCTTCCTGTATCCGAACCTACAACAAACACAACCGTGTGCTCGGAACTTTCCTGGAACTTCTTCTCGCTCTGCTTTGGAATCCTGCTGATTCCGTGCCATAGGGGCTGGTGAGACACGATACTCCTTTTGCTGCAATTGGCAAGGTCTTTACCGCCCCCAAAGCAGCTAGAACGCACACGTGTCAGTCGCTCACATTCCAGGTGTAATTGAAGTTGCATTTTGTCTTCTGGCCCCAAAGCTCCAAGTTGCGAACCATAAGTTCGTGCTGCTCCTCGAAGGGGGAGCAACCATAACCCAACCCCCGTGCAACGATCTTGCTGACACACACTTAGGCATATTTATGCTTGTTATGTTGTTGACCCCCCATCCTCTGCATCCGGCTTCTCTGCAACCAGACGCCGCGTCAAGACCACAGAACCCCAAGAGCTGGGAAAAGACGGCAGAAACCTATCCGCTTGAATGGCCACACTCTGCTCCATGATGCCTTGGTACTCGTTACTTGCTGAAGGGCTTGGAAGCGAATCCAATCAAAAAGGAAAGCATGCGTAACTCCAATCCTAAACCGTACTCAAAAAACACAAGCCTCAAACCAGGACCGTTACGACCTTCATACCATAGATTCCATAGATCAATCCCAGCTGCTGGTGACGGTCCCGTCCCGGGGGGCCCCTGTACCGATCTTCAATCTCCTCGCTTCTTCTTTTGATGAGGGTCCATCTTATTTTTCAAATGCTCAACATTTAAAGAAAATGGATTCAATCAATGGTGGACCCAGATTCGGGGAGATGGTCTCCCAAGTCCAGACCTGCATCTTGCGAGCTTCCAGCACCTTGGTCACATTCTTGACCACAGGATCCTTGGGCCTGTGCAGGGTCTCGAATGGAAGGCTTGGGGCGAATGGTGTCTCATGGTTTTAAACTGAGGGTTGAAGGTGCACCGAGGTTCTGGCAAGGCTTTCAAGTTTTGTGGCATTGGTTCTAGAGCGTTACGGTTAAAGTTTAGGGCTTAAGGCGTTAAACTATGTGATCTTTGCGCCTGTTGGTCGCAATGTAGACCGTCTTGATCTCTTCGGGAAGCTCCCACGCTGCCACGGCCTGGAACATGGAAATAAACTCGAAACCAAAGTTGAAACTCTGCTGGAAGCAAAGGCCAGCCCCTACACCATCGGCGTGTCAGCTGACACCAAGGTTGCCCAGAGCGCGTTTTAGCCAGGGCACTCAAGATGCGCGTCTTCAAGTTATGGTGAACAACAGAGTTTGCAACAATTACAAGCAGGTACACACAGGCAGGAACAAACCTGAAACAAGGCTGGAGCATCGATTGATTTTGCTCGCACGTAGAAGGGCTGCAGAGCGAGGCAACTTAGGCAACCTCAGAAATCAACTGGATGGACGCAGCACATCACATCATACTCCGAAGAATCTTAAGACTTTAGAGATTCATCGCCAGTGCAAGAGCTTGTCTTTATCTGGCTTGACAGCCGGCTCTTTTCTTTCAGACTGGCTTCAGTACCGTCTAGGCTCCAAATATCGAAAGACAAAAAGCACAAAAGGTACCCCCTTGGAACGAAAATGAACAAAGCACCTCAGCCTGGCCTCCGCCTGATCCTTTGCTTGCCAGGGTATCACGAAGATTGCCGCATGGACAAAAAGCTGGGGTCTGTTTCCCTTATGCGCATCGTGAAAAGGCATGCGCTGGCCCACTGGACAGAAAACCTACTCTCAGAAAATGTGGAACTTGCAATTGCTTGGTAATTGGAAAGGGTAACTATGCCACCTCTGAGATAATGTTAACGCATCATTAGAACAAAAGTCAAGGGGGACATTAACATAGTCCCGATTCCCGCTGGGCCAGGAAAAGTCCGGAAGTCTACTGTTGCTTCCTAACAAGTTTGGAGCCCGACAAGTTCGATCGCCAATAAGGGTGACAAGAATTAACTCCGTGCCCGAGAACATCCCGGTTTTTATTCCCTCTACTTGTAGTACTAGTAATACGACCTAATACTACCTAGTCCTATCCCCACCCCTGTTGCATTGCGACCACCCAGCCCTCCGTAGACCAAAACAGCGAAACAAGCTTTCGGGGATTCACGATTGTCAGGTTAACACTACGTATAAAGACACCCAGCAACAAAGGCCTAAGCATCTCTACCCTAATGAATTGGCTGAGTTCCTTGGGCGAACCCAGGGCCACGTGGAAATATACGGAAAAAGAACGAGGCAAGCGCACAACAAATTCCAAATTCCTTAAATCGCAAGAAAACCATACATCTGAAATCAAAATCTTCAGCACTTGGATTCCTCGACCCCTAGTCGATAACATTCTACCACCATGACAACTAAAACACAACGATCCCCGCAAGCCACTCTCAAGCCGTTAGCCCCCAATGCCTCTGCTTAAAGACCCTGCAACGGCCTGGGCCATGGACATGAACTCTGGTGCAGGGACCAGTTCCTCGCTTGGCAAAATTTCAAGAAAAAACCTCTTTGGGCTTAAAGACCTTGTCCAAGAGCATTCAATGTCTTCGGAATAGCTATGGCCTGGATGCCGCAGAACTGTGTCTGAGGAATTCCCCCCTCTGAGGTTTACAGTTGGTTCGGCGGGTACGATTGTTGAGTTTCCGGTATGACCGCAGGAGTTCATTCACTCCCAACTCGTCAGAACCACCGGCCTATCCGGCCAGCGAATCAGGGGCAAAGCTATCTTAAGTTGCACGAAACTGAAAGCTTGGCTACTGGCTGAAGAAGGCTCTTTGCTGGTCTTGCCCTTGGGCTTGAGCACAGGGCGCATGCAAATAGAGTTTTTGGTCATCATCGGCCAGGTCTCATCCAGTCCCATCCCGAAGCCGAAGGCAGAGCAGTTAAACAGCGGTATAGCTTCCCGATCTCCCAGGCGGCAATGTACTGCCGCAAAGTGCTTCGGCATGACAGACTTCACCATGTCTATGTATCTCTGCTTGAAAGATGAATGTTCAGTGATGAACTTGGCAATCGTCTTATGGTCATCTCTATGGAACAGAGATTGCCAATACCCCCAGCCGTTTCCAAAGACCGCCACAGGAATCTGAGCCAGATCTTCTCTCAGCTGCATGTGGGCCTGGAGTCTCCCGAAGTGGATGCTGCAATTCCTTGGTGACATGTGAGAGAGATTCTCTCGTTCTTTCGGCGCCACATCCTTCCTGTCACTTTCAGGTGCACGTCCTCCCCCTTATCCCTCTCTCTCTCTCCCTACCTCTCGCTCCTTCCTTCTAGCTCTGGCTCTCGTTCTCACGCACTTTACTTGGAGGGTCAGGAGGACTTAGTAAATGTATATATATACCCCCTGTAAGCCATGCAATAACCCCACTTATCGCCATTATTAACCTACCTACCAAGCCCCCCTGACCTTCCAAGTAGGGACGAGAAATTCCCAATCAGAACCCCATGTTGCGAGACTCAAGCCACAAAAACGCAAGCGACCCTGAAGTATCCTATGTTTAGCTCAAACTTGGCCAGCTCCAGCCCTCTACCCATCTCTACCCTACTCTCCGCGCAGAAACGTCCCAAGAGCCTGCCGGGTTTCAAAAGTGTGGCGTGGCATCTTCAGAGTTCGGGGCGCTAGAATTTCAGGCGCTAGAAAAAGCCTTCAAGCATGAGGCTTCAGAAGCATTCAGCATTTCTGGGCTCAGACACTCCAAACCCTCAAGTCGAAAACAAAAAACTCTCAACCTCTGGAACACAAGCCTAAAAGCCGACAATCCCTGAAACCCCGCCAACAGGCAAACCAACAAATGGATTCTAAACCGAGAGGCCAATAAACACACCCCCAAACAAACGTTAGCATCTTAAAGTCTGAAACGCTCAAGCCACCTGTCCGGCTGCACCGGGATCAACCAACGCTGGCCTGGCCCCTTCGGACGCTTGATGGTGGCCGCGGACCTCTCTCCACCCAGAGTGGCTTGGGAGCTGGGATGACAGGGCAAAGAAAGCACGTCACAAATAAGGCTGTTGAGGCTTCAGTGGAATGCTCAAAGCATGCTTGCGCAGCACTCAGGCAGCAATTGTGGATCCTCTGAGCTGAGTTGAAATGTGCGACGACTTTAGGAGTTCCGGGGTACAGTTTATGGCTCGTTTGGCACAAGATTTGAATTCCAGGGTACGGCTTGGAGGGTGCTGGCCTCGCAAACGCCTCAGCTTTAACGACTTACGATCTTGCGCTGAGCGCGGTTTTGCTCCTGGAGTTAAAGAAGAATCTGCAGATTTGGAAACCTGATTGGAATTCAAGGGAAGGTTGTAGGGAAAGGCCACCCAGTGCTGCTCCTACCCAAGCCCAAGACCTGGCGAAAATGATAGAGCTATGTTGGTCAGGAAGTCTGAAAACTTCGGAGCCCTGTCGCACTGTTCTTCCGGGCTTGAAGCTAATCTTGGGAGTGAACGTCCTCTCCTGGACTAAGGCACCTGGACATTTGCGATTTTGCCAAAAACCCCTTGAGACTCTTCTGTAAAGAAAGCTGAGACCCCACCTTAACTGAACCCAGATGCTAAGTTGAGGTAGTGGGTTCATAGCTTGAGGGTTAAGACGCCAAGGACGATCTAAAACATGGACCCTGAACTCCAGCTCTTCGCCGCACACCCACAAGCCCTGATCTCCGCTTCACACATGAAGCCCCGAACCCTACATGTGCAAGCCAAAAAACAAGACCCTCAAAGTGTTGTCTGGGACCTCTCGCCAGTCACGCGCCAACCCTTCATCTCGATTAGGTCATCATAGTTCACGAACCTGCCTCCTCCCGATCCAGCAGAGCTAGGGTTTGGGGTTGCCTAAGGTTCAAGCTTGGATCATCTAACATGCTTAACAATGCAGAAGTTGGAACGTCAGCTGCGCAGGACATGGAGTTTGCGGTTGTTTGAGCTGATTTTGTAATACGTAAGTGGACACTAGCCCAAGCTGTCCACGCTGGTGTATCTCGAGCAGATCACTCAATGACAGGTGGACACTGCTCTCCTCGTGGAAGCTGGGGTGGCTGAGGCAGAAGTGGTGAAGAAAGGAAGCTGTCTCCGGCACGATCCCATGTAACGGTTACGCTTCTGCTTATGTGATGTCCAGTGATGGCCGCAAGCCTCAAAACCCGGAAGCATCACCCCCCCAGCAGCCGAGTAGAGTAGGAGAAAGAAACATGAAAAAAAGAAATGGCCTTGGTGATTTGCCTGCATAGGCTGCATCACTAGCGTGCGGTTCAGCATGACCGCGAAGATGAGGGCGAGTTCGGCCTTGGGGATCTAAAGGCTCCGAAGCCATGGGCTTGCATTGAAGAACAACTGAGTGCCACAGCACAGGGACCGGTCCACTGCTGCCATTGTGCATGGGAACATCTGCCTCAATCTTCCTTCCAGAAAACGAGAACCCCCACGTAGCCCCTGAACCAGGAGACCGCAAACTCTGGGTAAAGAAGCCTTATGCAATCTTCTGCGGCCAGTCTCTACATCCCCATATGCAAGCAAAGCAGCTGCTTGAAAACGATTGTTGAAGCCACCACCCTGAACAGCCAGGAGAGTGCACCGCAATGCAAAGCTGCAATTACTGGCAACGCTCTCCCAAAGCCAATGTTTCTTCAGCTATCCCATCTACCCTCGGGATTGTCGTTCGGGTCTTGAGATTGTAGCATTGGAGGTCTGATTTTGAGGGGTGGTCCTCTTGGAGCTGTTGGAGACTGATTCTAAAAGGGGTGGGACACGTTTATCCTTTTCAGGCTTGGGAAGCCTAGGAAGGTCGGCTCGAATTCCTGTATCTGCTCCACCCACACCTTGCGACTGCTGCTGGCGGGACATGATGCAAATGCATATGCAGAGACACCACAACATCATGCAGTTTTGGTTTGGAAGGTCTGGACTCATCGGTTTTGGGTGTTCAAAAGATGGTTTTTCTGTTTGATTTCAATCGAAGCACCCACATTGTATGTTGTGCGGGGCCAAGCCCCCCGATGGCTCCTGAGGCATTATCCCACAAGCAAGCCAAATGCAAAAAATCATCCCCCCCGAACTCGACATCTCGTCTTACACATCCAAGCGCTCATCAGTACCGGCATGATGCCCTCACCACCACCAAGGGCTGCCAAGCAAATATCTCACATCTGGACATGCGCTCTCAGCCATTGATTACAATAGTGCTTCAAGAATGCCCTGCTGTGAAACCTGTCAGCCTCATTGTTCCACGAGGCAAAATGAGTCTTCCGGTAATCCCAGGTCGATGATGTGGTCGTTGTTTCTGGGGGTTTCACACTGCTTGAGGCGGGTTTTTGCGAAAGTGTGCTGGTCGCTGAGGAGTTCACTGAGGAGTTCCTGTCCTCAACTGGGGGAGGCCGCAATGCTGCTGCCTGGGTGGGAAGGCTTGTGTTGGTACTGCTGGGGAGGGCGTCTGCGGAAACAGCCTGCCAAAGCTCCAAACCGCCCACAGTCGTTGTGAAGTTGTCGGGATGAAGCTGCCACAGTTGCGGGACATGCTCGCCCAACCTCATGCACTTGGGCAACGCAACACTACCATACACCATGATATCCAGACTTAGAATAAACAGCTTCTCAAACCCAAGCCAAAAAACAAACCCAACTTTTACATGTCCAACAGATCAACATCTTTCACGCAAACCTGAAGAAGTTGACCCAAAGATATGGCCCTGCAACCTAGATCCTCGCAAAGAAACAAGTATGAAGCTTTCCAATGGAGAAAGCTTGATAAGCAACAGCAACAGCAAGAAGGAAGGTCAACCGAGCCAGCACAACGATGTGACAATGACAACATCCACTACCACCCCTCCACCACAAGCAACACCAGCACCAGCACCAGCACCACCACGGCCAGCGCCAGCGCCA